TGCCTGGCATGTCCAGCACACTGCAATGGGGCCTTGGGGCACCAGCTCTGCCTCAAGCCCTGGCCGCTGCTCCCTCTCTGCTGCAGGGCTGGAGGCATGGCCGACTGCCACTGCCTTCTTCTCCCAGGGCCTCCAAGGCTCTTCAGAGGGGTCTCTCTGCTCCCTCTGCTGGGTCAGCTCACCCCAACTCTTCTTAGCCCTCCTGCATCGTTCCCTGGAGTCACCGTCAGTAACTCCCACACGCCGCCAGTTTGGCTGCTGCTTTTATCCCCTCTGACAGTCCCTCCCTGGCTTGCAAGCCAGCCAATCAGGGCTCAGGGTGGCTGGACCCCCCACTCCAGCCATCCCCCTTCCATGTGAATGAAGGGACTGAAAACCCCTTCTTTCAACTGGCTTCTCCTTTTCCACAGGGCAGGACTCCCCTGCTCCACCCTTGGGGTCACTCAGGGTTCACTGGCACTGTTTCTAGCCCAGGGTAAGTATCTTAAGCCAATCTGGTGAGCCCACATTGGCAGTCTGTTACAGAGGTTTGCAGCACCACAAACCACATGTGCCTGCACGTCTGGATCTGGCCTTAGTGACCAGGCCCAGCGGAAAATGGAATACAGCAAAAATTTTTACAGTAGAAACTTTGTTTTATTTTCGACTGTACAATATTAATTCATCAGGACCTAGCCTGGCTGCTTAATCCCATCATATCCAATTGCTGTGACACTGTTACAATTTAGACTCCTCTAATGTTCTTCTGACAAGAGAAGTTTTTTCCCACATGAAGGAAATAGTACACACAGACACAAAACCGTATGCAACCCAAAAGATACTTGTGATCTGCATCAGAAGTGCATTAGGTTTTAAAAAATATTGGTGGTGGGAATGTTGCTTTGTTTCTCACATCCCATCATCCTTCTTTTGCTGGTAATAGATGGAATTGTTTCAAAATGATCAAGGTCATAAATAGCAACTCCCGTATATGCTGTGGAAGTGGAAAGGTAAGTGGCAGAGATACAAACACTCTGCAACAGTCTAGACACTTGAATAGAGAAGTATGACAAGCTGTGTAGAATAGTAACCACTAGCACCTGATTAAGGCACAAGCTGATAACCAAGATTTCTTTCCATCCAAAGAAACCACATATCTAATAATATAATAAGTCATGCTCTGCTGATGTATGGATGAGTCAGGATAAGTTCAGTGCACAGGACAAAATATAGCAGATTGCTCCTTTCCTTAAGTGTGACTCTGGATTCTAACTGCCCTAATAAAAACTGAGGGTGTCTATACACGTGCTCTGGGATGGAAGGGGGTGGGGTGGGGTGGAGTGGGGTTCAATGAGCTTTGGGTAAAGCACCCTCACTGCCATTTTGAAATGCAGGGATGCTGAAAACACGTGATGTGGACACTGCTGGAGTGCACTAATTAGCACGCTCCAGCAGAAGTCCGTAATGTGTGTAGGTGCCCTGACTTCCCCAAACTATTAGACCACTGACTCAGAACCCCTTCTTAAATAGAACCTCTTGAGTAAAGTGTATAGCCTTTACAAGTCTGACAAATTAATATGGGTTAGCATGATGATTATTCTGCACTTATTTTAATCAACTGACAAGCACCTGAGCCTATGGAGAGACAAAGGTAGTCTAAATTGAAATAACCCTTCATAACTCTTCACCACAGTTTAATGTCACGTTGACAAAAAAAGGATAGCATCTGAAAACTGCTATCATGTCACACCCACTACTTATGATGGGCTCCAGACAGGGTACCATGTTTCCCATCATCAGGCAGAAATAGGATCTGTTACAGGATCATCTCAGGATAGCTTTGCTGATAGTTAGATTATGGTTAGTCCATGGCTGTCAGCTGCTGGCAGATTTATTTTGAGTTATGCAACTGCAGTCAGCCGGGACGCAGGCTCTAAGGGATTCTAAGATGATCTACTGCCCTCCCCTTTCCCTGGCAGCTTTGAGAGAGAGTAAATGCTTGTCAGAGTGAAGACAAGTAGGACTAAATGCTGTGGAGAGGCACTCTTCTGCAAGCCTGATTCAATGCACAAGCATTTTTGGGGTAGATTCTGGACCTGAAATAGCAGACTTAACTCTTCCCCTACTTCTTCTCTACTCATATATCCAGGAAACAGGAGGCTGTGGGGAGATGTGGGAAGAATACCTCATTTTGCTTCGGGCCTGAGCTCTGAGTTTCATTGTGGGTGAACTGGAACACTTAGACTCTCTGTATATCGACATGCTAAACAACTGAAATGTTACTAACAGCCATACTGTGCACGTGGGATTGGGGTGGCAGATTACAAGGGACAGACTGTTACTTAGTGATGACCTTGTTCACAAACAGTACTTTCCAATCACTTTTAAGTGCTTTTCTACATGAAGTTGCAAGAACCCATCCCACTCCTTTACTCACTGAAAGAGATGGGTTGCCCTCGTCCTCCACAGTGACAACAAGCCGATAGAATTCCTGTCGCTCCCGGTCTGGAGGAGAAGGGCGGGTGGCAATCTCGCCAGTAATTCGGTCCATGCGGAAAGTCAGATCTTCATTCCCCTGGGTGATGTAGTAGGAAAGGACGCTGTTGAGCCCAATATCTCTGTCAGTTGCTCTAACCTGAACCACTGAGGTGCCTCCACCAACATTCTGCGAATGCACAGAAGAGAACAGAAAGAAAGAAAAATCAGCATCTGACAATTTCATTATAAATCTCCAGTTCACCCAGGTCTCCAACTCTACCCTGGGTTAAACCTCAGCAAACAAAGAGTCAGTGAGCTTGTCTACAAGAGGTGTTTATTGCAGAGCTAACTAATTAGCTCCACAGTAAATGTCTCAACATCTACATGTGCACCTCTCTTAAGGTGCAGGAAAGTAATAAACTTCACAGCAGGGTAGTACTTGTATTTAAACGTGTAGACACTGAGTCAGCTGGCTGGGGCACAAGGGTGCTTCAGTGTGGGGGCTGCCTGCTAGTTAGCTTTGTGCTGAAACACCCTTATATGCTATCCAGCCCCTCTGCAGCACAGTAAGCCTGGTCAGAGCAGCTCCAGGCTGACCCCTGTGATCCACTGTCAGCCAGAGCTGCTCTGACTGGGCTCCAACTGCTGCAAATGAAACAACAAATGATGCCATAGGCAGTCAGCTCTGGAGTTAATTTCTCCTGAGCACATGTTCAAATGGCACACCCAGGAGCAAAAAAAATCTGGAGCAATCAGCTCTGGAGTTTATTTATGTGCACTAATTGCACATGAAGCTGCACCCAGTGTGTGAGAAATTTGAAAATGTCCTTACAATTTTTTCAAGAGAAGTAATGCTTAAAATTTTCAGGCACTCTGCATTAATGTCCGTGTTGTCTACACATGCCCTTAGGTGCCAAAATAACTGTCTCAGAGATTGAAGCCCTTTGCCACTAGAGTAGAAGCAGTATAGATGAGGGAACAAACCACCTCAGGTGACTCTGTCAACGAGCATCAGTTTTGACTTTGAACGATCCTCTCTGTTAGTTCAATTACTGGTTCAATCCAGGCTTCCAGATAAAACACCTCAACAAAGGTGAAAGTTACTGGAGTGCTAACTAGAATTATGTTTTTACTAATGCAGACAGCTTTCCATTAAGAAGGAAGCCAAGATTGCCAAATCCTTTCAGTTTGGCCCATCTGTCAGCTAGAAACAACCTTCTGCCAGCACCAGCTCTGCTTAGATTTAAACCAATGCCCTGGTAGTGAAAGGCCTCACGTTGCTACATTCTCTTGTCTCTTTTTGTGACTCAGTAGCTAACAAATAACATCTAACAATGACATTCTTCAGTGTCATTCCATATCACGAGTCATTTAAAAAAATCACACCAGAAAGCCTAAAGGATATGCCACTGCCCGGGAGGACCCTGTCCGTAATGCAGAATGGCCTTCATTTTCTGAAATAGTGCTGAAAGTACTTTGTTTTGGACCACACTTGCACATGGGCAGATAATGAGAAGTTCAGCTCGTCTGTTGGAATGACGCAGCCATGATAGTCTAGGAATGATGCCATAGGCAAGGATTTTTGTGGCTGATATATTTTACTGGACTAACTGCACAGTTGGGAAAAAGTTGGACAATCTTATGAAGGCAAACCAGTCTTTGATAGGTCTGAGAGAATAGGCAGGCACAGCAATGATTAGAAATGGTATGTAGGGCTGCAAAATCAGAGAACAGATTCCCAGGGGTAGCAGACCAAAAATTAGCAGAATGAAAGAAGCATGATTAATGGGAGAGCAAACCTATCAAAAGAGAAGAGGGTGATTATCATCTGTAGTGTGAAGGACGAAGTTCAGGAATCAGGTAGAATACAGCATACCATGAAGTCGGTATCAGTGTTCAGCTCATGGTTCGTAATGTCCAGCCAGCTTATGAATTTTTGTTTCCAAACTTCCCTTGAGCATGAGGATAGTAAGATCAGAAAGGAAGTATTTGTTCTGTGAAAAATGTATTCTTATTGGCATTTGTGCGTCTCTCTCCTTTACATTTTTTCTGTGAGAGCTCATTTTGGTCTGTAGTTTCTGTCTACTTGCATCCACATAGTTACCAACAGGGCATGTGGTGTATTGGATCAGTTTATCGCATTTTGGGAATGGCAATGAAATTATATCATCCAATAAAAGGTATCACCCACAACAATTTTTACTTGGGTAAGGAGGCAAGCAAAAGTGCAACAAGAAGGTTTTGGGCAGCAGAGGTGGCAAGGGCAGTGGAAGGCCAGGCTGGTAGAGACAGCTTTGTTCTCTGCACCCTCCAATTATTCCAGCTGGGATTCATGCCCTAGGAGCCCATCCACAATTATGCTATTGGCAGTAGGTAACGTTTCTAGTGGAGCTCTGGCCTTACAAGATGCAAATCTGAGCAGCTGATTTTGCAAGGCCTGATGTACAAATAATTAGTGCTAACTTGGACATTTTTAATTTAACTTCATTTTGTTGTATTTTGTTTTCTTTTATCAGAAAAGCCTGGTCCAAAATCAACAAAATTAAAAAAAGGTAAATTTCAATAAAATGTCCCCAAAGAAAATGTGCTGGGAAATTATTTCTTTGAAATTTTGGAAAAATGCAGATTTTTTTCTTTGGTACCTGAAATTTCATTTTCACTTTTATTTGTTGTGGGTTTTTTTGTTTTCATTTTAATATTACTAGCAGCTACCTTGTACTGGAGGAAATTGGATCAAAGTATCTTCTGGTTACAATGAAAGAGTTTGATACTTTGGTACAAAGTACTTCATATTAGCATTATCACTGACTGACATACCATGAAATAATGGAAAATAATTAATATAAACACAAAACCCCAATAATATAGATAAAATCTCAATGGGGAGGAGGAAAGAAGGGATTCCATTTAGTAGGAAATTTCAGAATGTCAACATTTCCTATGTAACCAAAAAACTGGGTTTAGATCAGCTTATCAAGTGATTAAAATGCAACTAAAATAGAAAATTCAAATATACTGATATGTTTAATACACAGCTACAAATCACGTATATCATGCACTTGCAACTAAGTCTCACAGATTATTACTTGTAATTCACTTTTCATAATCACATTAAAATATTCTAACAGGACTTAAGCTGTCAGGAAATAAATTGTCTTTTTCATACTTGGTCATGTTTTATTGCTTAATTATCTATTTCTTTCCTAAGAATCTGTTTCCTAAAACTGATTCATGTTCTGGACAGGGTATTCTCTTGAATTACATTTAATTTTCTGGAACTTTCATCACTCTATTAAGGTTACTATTTTTCCCATCAGTTGTATATTGTATTTAATGGGCACGTTTAAAATTTGTTCCAAGAATTTTTTTGCAAATTACATCTACCGTTTCACTAACAGAAGTCAGGGAATGGTGCATTGTTTCTGGGATAAGAGATGTGAATATTAGTGGGGACATGGGCATGGTGTACTCCACCTCCCACTGTGCCCTTCTTCCTCACCTACTTCAGGGGTGGTCAACCTGTGCCATACATACTAGGCCTGTGCAAAGCAGCTAATAATCACTTTGGATTTGGATTCAGTTAATTCAGGGGACAGTGATTCGATTTGGTGATTTGAAGCACTGTCCCAAATTGATTCTCCAAATCTCCGACTCACCCAGGCCAGGCCCATCCCCATCCCCATCCCCTGCCCACTCTTCCAGCCCTGGCAATGGCTGCCCCACCTGCCTCAGCTCTCGGCATTTTGAAAAAAAAAAAAGCCCTGGCTCACCGGGTGCTGCCGGGCATGGGACAATCCCCACTGCCCCCCTACTGTCCCATGCTGCATGGGGGGCTCTGCACAAGCTCCCCGACCCCACTGCTCCCCCAGTCCTCCCCACTGCCCATGGCTGCCCTGCCCACCCCAGCTCCGGCCCTTTAAGAAAAACAAACAAAAAAATGAGAAAAACCCCTTGACTCACCATTGGGGAGGGGGCCAGGGGTGGCAATCCCCGCTGCCCTGCACCACATGGAGGGCTTTTCCATGAGCCCTCCAAAGCCCCGAGGCCACTGCAGAAGCCGCAAGTCCCAAGGCTTTTCTTGGGGTTTTTTCCCCCTAAAGGGCCAGAGCTGAGCTGGGCAGGGCAGCCATGGGGGGAGAGGGGCTAATGCAGAGCCCCCCATGCACTCAAAAAACTGAGTGGGGTTTTTTTTTTTCAAAGCATCGGGAGCACCAGGGTGGGCAGGGCAGCCATGTGGGGGGCTGGGGGAGCGGGCGGGGGTTGGAGGGCTGAGGGAGCATGCAGAGTAATGGGGGCTGGCAGGGGTGCCCCCATGGTCCCCTCCCCC